TTAGCATAAAGTCTGCAGGGAAATGGCTTCAGAAGAGTCCTGGTTGGAATGAGTCTGAATAAGTCATTGCTATTGGATATTATTTATTTACCTTACTAGACGACAAGTTGTTCTACTCTATTAGATGTATATCCCTCTTTTTGTTTATTTCCTTAGCTCGCCAAGAGGAATCAGAAGTAGAAAAAGAAGACTGCTGTTCACTACCATTTCAAAAATTGAATTTGCTTTATTGTATAAAATTTGTCTTGGCAACATTTTACTCATTTATATGTTTTGTACTCTCTAAAGAAGAAAGAAGGCAAATCCATGTGCTGGTCCTTAATTGCTAGATTTTGACTGGATCATTTACTGATCAGAGAACTATTTTCAGAAGACAGCAGTGTTTAAGTCATGATATAATGGGAAATAAACGGCACACACTCCATAAAGTAACTAGACGGTTTAGAATACTTTAAAACACTAGATTAAACAGAATGCTATATTTTCTATCTGACTATATCACTGAGACATGCAGAATACAAGAAATAAGAGGAAGTGGTTTACCAGATTACTTTTCCTTGCTCATTCGGAGAAGCTGCTGAAATTAAACTATGATATAAAACACAATGCATTTATTTCACATTTATTTTGTGCCACTGAACCAACTAGAAGTACTTAGCATTGGAAATAAGTCACGCAGCTTTGAACTTGATTTCCTCAAAATATCTTCATTACTGCTTAACTTGTGTGGGTTAACTGATTGTTCCTTCCTACCCAGTACTAAAGCTAGAGTTACATTTTCTCACCTTTACTTTCCTGCTGCTCCTAAGACCACACTTGCATCACATGGCTGTGCTTGTAAGAATTCCCTCTCAAAGCCTATCCAGAGGTGTTTAAGGCATGAAGTATATATCTTCAATTTCAACACAAGTTGTTCACATAAAGTGTACCGAACAAAAAAAAAAAAAGAAAATGATATACATATTTTTGAGGAGTGTTTTTTAATATATATATATATATATATATATATATATATATATATATATATATATATATTTCCAACTCATCCTTGAAGAATCTGCCATAGGCAATACTGGAAACAGGATAGTAGATAAGATGAAAACTGAGTCTACTTCAGTTCAGTAATTTAATGGATTCTGGGCTGGGAATGAAAGTGGATTGCAATCTCCTTTTTCACAGTATGGAAAAAAATAATATTTTTTGGAGACTTTAAACAGGGCAGCTCCAACAACTTGCCATCTGTTTTTCCTCTTTGAATCTACTTCTTTAATAAAAATAGGATTTATTTATTAATGTTGAAGTAAATGCAGATAACTTACTTCTGATAGATAGCTTCCTTGTGTCATTAAAGAGAGTAGCATATTATCAGGAGGAGTGTTCTGAGAATGTAGTGCTGCTCTGCCATAAACCACCAGCAGGAAGCATTCACACAGGCATATGTTGTAGGGTTTATTTTAAAGAACTGAAATCTCTTAATCGAGACACAGAATTAATATGGGAAGCAGGAAGATCATCACAGATGTGGTTCAGAGGCACCCATAGATACTATGGGAAGTAATCAGACACTGAAGTTTTCATGTCACTGAATGATCGCATTGAGCCGGGAATTGTGAATTTTTGGGAAAAGGAAGGAGAGATGACCTTTCTCTTTCAAAAACATGGGATTTTTCATATAATTATGTAAGTATTAGGAAAACATATATAATGGTATTTACCGCTACAGTTTTTGTATAACACTGCATGTAAGTTACATACGTATATGCATTTTTATATCCATGAGCAGTACTTATTTTATAGCCTACATAATATAAAATTGGTTTTAGACAAAGAAGGTGAAAAGCTTTATGCAGCATAAATACAATTACATATATACCGGGAAAACAATATACGATATTTGAAGATACTGAAAAAGTATTTAAGTTAATGCCCTGACTCAGGTTTATCACATTGATCTAGTGCAGATATAAAGGTAAGAGGCACAAGCAAAATAGTTGTGTTAACTTTCCGAAGAGAAGAGAAGGAAAGCATAGAGTTGAAAGTAGGCAGCACCACTTCTCAGCAGCACAGACCATGATTTACCCTTATTCTGTCTGCTTGATGGCATTTTGCTTACAAAGATGAACAACAGCATTCCCTTCACCTGCCAATAACTTCCTGAATGCTGAATCTGTCACCAAACTCCAGTTTCCTCATTCCTAGCATTTTCACTATTATTTGCTGAAATTTTTGACTAGCAATACTGAAGTAGTTTTCCTATTCTCAGCATATTTACGAGATCAATGCTACAAAGACAAAACCTTGCTCTCTTTTAATGCCTGCAGCTCCTCACCACCTCCCAACCGAACTCCACACAAGTTATGTGTCAGCTTCAGCAATTATTTTCACAAAATTTAGGACTGTTTCTTTTCAAAGTGAAGTTACAAATGTAGAAGGAGCTTGTTTTGCAGACAGCCCAGCATGGAAGTGCCAGGGACTTACATCAGAGATGCACTTACGAGACTGCATAGTGAAGCATGGAAATCCCTGCTTACTGTGAAGCTACTAGGTACGGTATGGCACTGCACACCACTTGTACTAAAAAACTGTGTACTTGTTTCAGCTGCCAGAAACTCCCACATTTTTTCTCCAAACTTCTCATTCTTCAAAGTATCATTCACGATAGGGAGAATTCCCCAAAAGTAAGATGGAAGTCTGGAGTCCACAACATATTTGAAGACAATTTACTTCTAAATTCATCTGGAGTTTCATTTATTTTAATGTTAAGAAAAGATAGATTTTGCAGCTTGAAACTGCTCAATACGCAGCTCAAAGATGTCAAGCTAAAAATGGAGCTACAATTGCAGTATTTTAAGCTAAGTTCATTTAGCTTTACTGAATTTAGTAAATGTGCATTATTTTAAAAGTAGTACAGTGAAGACTTAAAAAGAGTTAATAAAAAACAAAAATTGAATTGGTAATATGGGCCCTGGCCACCCTATCAAAAGTCATTTGCATATACAAAGCATTATTCTGATGACTGATTTATATCAGCTGAGGGTATAGCTCATACAGGACTCCTTTCAGTGTATCACCTTACTAAACCAAACCTTTTAAAAAACACAAGTATATCAGATACTTGCACTTTAGAAGGATCCAACTGAAACCTGACAATAGCACACTTGAACAGTACATTTATTTGGAATTTATATGCATCTGAAATCAAAAGGAGAGTTTATTGATAGAAGTTAGAGCCCTTAAACTTCTATTTCATACTTATTCACCAACATCAACTCATGAATTACATACTCAACTTTATCCTTTAGGTTGGCAAAAACACAATGTTAGTTGCACGTAAAGAATATTAATTAAATTATTTAATTCCTGGATAAAACAGGAGAACTCAAGAATTAAGCACTTTGTAGCTGAGAAAGTACTTTCAGCAGAGAAAGAGGAGAAAACCAATGCATGAAACTGCCTCAACTGCTTCCCACAATTATTGATGTAGTCAGTAGTGCTCTCAACAGTGTAAGCACAAAGAAAAACCAGACTGAAAACCCAGGAGGAGTTACTGTAAGATCAGCTTCACAAGAGTTAGAGAGAAAAGCTCTTGTCTTGGCCAGGAACTAATCTAGCTCCCTAATATCACGCAGCTAATATGTACTCCCTGTTTTTAAGGTGACATTTAAGAGAGGACATTTATAGTTTGTTCCTCCACGCAGTCTGTATTTCCAAATTAAAAAGGACGATGAGACTACCAGCAATAAGGAATATGATGTTCTCTATAAAATGTCTTTTGCTTTTCTTTTATTTATCAAGTTCCATTCTTGGATAGCATACCAAATCTGGAAGATGTATATCATTGAATGTTAGCGTGTATTTATTGATTTCCATTAAATGCTTTAATTCCTATTAAATAAAGTATGAATTGATGACAATAATGATAATTATTTAGCAGAATGGCAGCCTAAGCATCCTAGCAGGAAGGATGTTATCAAGTCCTTTAGCTAGCAATAGCAGATCTTCAGTCTGTACCACTGCAGTAGTAACTAACTAGATCATTCAATCTTTCAGGTTTGAAAAAGTTTTGGACACACTTCAGTATGGTGCATATGTATCTTTTTATTTTCAGATAAAAAATAAAAAATTTCATCAGATTTCAAGCTAGGAAATAACCCTAATAATAATTTTCTCCATATATGTACAGTTTGGATAGATCACCTATAATTCATAAAAAAATCATGAGGGATTACTGAGAAAACAGTATGAAGTTTACATCCTGTATCTGTAATTTACAGAATCATGCATGAGTGGAAAATCCATTAAGATCTTTAAGGACTCCTTAGAACATTATTTCATCAGTTCTGGAACACATGAAAAAGCCTGGGTCAGTTTGTCTGGGCTTAAATCAAAATTTAAAATATTAGTAAACTTTGAGACAAAACTTTGATCAGATGCAACTAATATGTTTACGAAATTTGAAGAAGTGTTAACCCGTATTCATTATAATTTAGAGAAATCATAGCAGAAATTTATCTTCTTAGAAATGCAAGTGTTTTAGTACAACCTATGCAGGAAAAAGAATAGAGCAAAGCTTTTCTGACATGAATTTTTTGAAGTTTTCCATTTTCTTCCCTACCTTTCTCTGAACATAAAAATTCAGAGACTTCTGGAATTTCTGTCCTTTGCTTTGCATTACATTATGCATCTGGAGTACTTGTCTTGGTTCAAGCAAATCACTACTTCCTAATATGCAGGAAAATCGGAAAATCTGGTAATTTTGTATGAAAAGAAGGGACTATCTTGTCAGCACTTTCTTTTAACACGAATGAATGTTCTACTAGCTAAGTGTGAGCAGAAAGAGATGGAGTGGAAATTTTTCAGAAAGAAAGGATACAGAAGTCTTTTAGGACTCTGTAACTCCACCACCAAAAACTAGATGCAGGTTTTTCTAGTAGATAAAGAACTGTTACCCAGTGAATTAAAAAGACTGGGTACTGAATCAAGTTGATGGAACCAGCTGGCAGAAGTCCTTTTTGTCCATACATAAGGATCTGAACTTTCTCTTCTTGAATTACCAAACATCAAGTATGGTAAAAAAAAAAAACACAAGAGTTTTTAACTCCTGAATCTCAAGTCAGAATTCTCTATTCACCTCATATGCTCTGTGTTCAGACCAACTAGAAAGCTGTCCAACTTAAAAGCACACAAATCAGCATTATCCTTACACTAACAAATACTATAGTTACAAGAACAGCTCTCAGACAAGCCAATATTCTAGAAGTAAACACATTGCATAATAAAAATGCACATACCAAATGGTGTAAGATGCATTTAAACTCCTTAATAAATCAATTCTGCTCCAATTTATGTCAATAATTTGCATATAACAAAATAGTCCTTGAGCAAATAACTGATAAAGTAATAAACCTGTCATATGCACAAATTGACTGCTCACTAAGGCTCTTTGGCAGCGTGTTCATACAGAGGCAGATGCTCTGGTATAGCACAGTATCTGCAGGAAACATTTATCTGTTGTGTGATAAGACAGGAAAACAGAGTAAAGATTAGCTTTGATTTTACAGCAGGCTAAATATTCATTGCAGAAGAAAGGAAATTTCCTTTAAATAATTGATTTATTTGATACTTGTTAAAAAAAAAATCTGTTTATGTCAAATTGTTTGAATTAGACAACAATTCTGTCTTTAATTGGTGTAAAAAAGTTAAAGGTTATTTTCTGAGTATGGGAGGAGATCAATAAGCTGAGTATTTACACCAGGGACTTATTTTCCACAAAACACTTCAGTTTGGTCGTATTAGTTAACGAGCAACTACAGTAGCAAAGAGCTGAATAGCAATCTACCCAGACAATAAGTTAGACTATAAAAATGTATTTTAAAACTGTTAGGCATCTTTGGTCAGAAAATACCCATGCTCTCCATACACCAATTTTACATATTGTTATACTGACATATTTACTCCAAATGTTGTGTTAAAGCTCTGTTCCCGCAAGATATTGAGCAGAGTCCTTTCAATGGACTTATTCAATGGAGTATTTACATGAAAAGTTTCTTGTTCTGAGACAAGCCTTGAGAAAATGACACAGCCATGGTCTGTAACCACATCAGATCTACTCTAAGGAAAAAAAGGAAAAATATTGAGGAAACAAAGCTGCCAAAGGTAAGCTTCTGTCCCTTCCTTTGCCCACACTTTGTGACCACATGGCTGCTGGGAAGACAGTTCATACAAAGATGATAAGGTACTAGCACTCATGGTGTTAAATCATTCAGACAAAAATGTTACTCATTTTGATGTTTAATTTCCAGTGATGATATTCTCCTTGAAATATGCTATTAAATCATGTGGAGTAAAGATAATTTGAAGAATGATGGTAAAAATTCAGTGTTTCTGAGGCTTCATCAAATAAAAAGAGATGAAAACTTGAGGATATTACTAACTTTTTCTCTCCTCCTATCCTTGGAGGAAAAACCTGGTGTTTTTTTCTTAAACTACTATTGAAATACTGAATAAATTCCTGAAAGCATATAAATTTCTTACAGCTAAATTCAAAGAACATTAGAATAACCATGAATTGTGAACTTTCACTTTTCAAACTCCTGGGAAGGGTGATTTTTCAAGGGGTCTGAAGTGGTAACTGTCACTGATGATGCCAACTGTTTATGTGGTTGCGTCCAGTAGATTTTCAGCATGCCTGCTTGTAATATACTATGTATTGAATGGGCCTCACAAGCAGAAAAAAATAGCTATGCTAGAACCTGCTCCAAATAGTAACAATGAAGGGGTGCTTAAATGTAAGGAGTTGTCAGAATCAACAGAGCTGAAGGCATCATCTATATGTCTATTTAAATACCTATTTTTTTTTTTTTTAAATGGATTTTGCAGGAAATAGTTATTGCAGAAAAAATGCTATATTTATATATATTGACATCATGTTTAAAGCACTACATATAATCTTTCATATATTACCTGTACAGTATAATATTTGGACTACTGAAAGTTAAACCCAAAGCAATCAAGTTCATATGTGTTACTGTAATTTATCATTTCTACTTACAATGAAGAAATGGCTCTCAGCTCTCCAGAGCTTCTCCAGTTGTACTGCTGTATATCGGTGGAGAGTTTAGACAGCCCTGTTTCAACACAGCTCTAAGAAATAAGAAGATCCAGTCATTCTCCTCTGATTTAGAACTATACTCTGCTGAAGCTCTTTCCCAATAAGTAATTTGCTCAAATAAGTAATTTGGGGATATGAAACAAACACCAAGCTCCAGAACATCAGGGTGCACAGAAATATTATCTCGTCCAAAAAGCATCAGTGCGGACATCATCAGTGAAAACACCACAGGGTCCCAGCAGGCCATTTTATGAGCCACTCTCAGCACATTTAGAACTTACTCAGGAAATAGTTTGTTTGCATCAGGCTCTGTGATCACCCTTCATAAGAACTGGAATAGTGAGCTTTTCTTCACAATAACACATATACTCTTTGGGTTTTTTTTTTAATAAATAAAAGCACACAGACTGGACCTCAACATAAAGGTATATGACCATCCATTTCATACATTTGTTGAACATTTGAGAATATAGCCTTCATATTATATCTATGCTAGTTTTTAAGAGTGAGTACCTCACAGGAGACTGATTACTGCCCCTAAATAATCCTTCCTAGACTCAAAAGCAAATTATAAGTCAGCTTGAATCTGCAACAGCTGGCTGCTGTGCCTCTGGAGTCATGAAGAAAATAGAAACTGCAGTATCTATTTCATTTTTTTTTGCTTGACCTTACTATTTCCCACCATCATTCAAGGGATCCTTGTGTCACAAAAGTCAACATATTAAATGTTTTACAGAATCTATATATGCTTTAGTACATCCTTTTACTGTGATTCCCACTATCCTTAGGCAGAGTTTTGCTCTCTGCTTTATCAAGGGAAAGCAGGGTGAAACAGGAAAACCACCTGAAATTTCTAAGCAATCTTGGGACAAATCAGAACTCAAGGGAGAGAGTTAAAAAGTAGCAGCAAGGATCTAGTCAAATAAAAGAGGATTGGCTTGTTAAAAATATATATATATTAATTAATAAGCTGCACCTAAATGCAATTTAACTATTAGAACACATTGGCTATTATTTCACATACATGAGAAGAGACTCAAAAATAGATACAAAGCACATCAGAAGAATACACAGAAGTGGGGAATGCTTAAAACAATTACATCACTGTGCTTGAGTTACATTTGCTTTGATAATAAAGTACTTAAAAGAAAAAATGAATGAGATTTCAGATTTTTTTTCTCCCACAATGCTTAAACTGATAATTTTAAGTCCCTCTGGTCCAGAGGCATACCTCTGCCTCAAGACTTTTCCACATACAATTGTAATAACCTCCCTTTCCACAGAAAAAAAAATAAACAGAGAGAAACACTTCACCATTGTAGACCTCTTTTCATCAGCACAAATACTATCGTTTTATCTTTGACAGATGAACTAAAGTCCAGCATCAGATTATGAAGCAAGAACTTCTTCAGAAAAAGCAAATAATTTCAAATCAATTTTCCGTTTTCACATCTTTGGTTATTGTTCTGTCACTTGACACAAAAGGTCAACCGCACGCACTGACAGAAATGCTTGCACCACTCTGCTTGACTCTGTTCTTTGCCAGGCCCACATTCCTCAAAATCATGAACTTGACTAGGGCATGGTCACTACAGCCCCTGCTGCCTCCAATCTTACCCTAGATGAGTGCATAAAGTCCCAAAAACTCTTTCAGAAAAGATTTTAGGCTAAACAACTGCTTATTTAATGTCCAACGAACAGAAAGGGAAGAAGGGCTGTCAGCTCAAAGCTCAGAAGAGTCAAGTCCTGATCCTGAGGCTAGTTATCTTGCTAGTTATGTTTAAACTCCTAATTTAACAGCTCATAATATGCCTCCTGACTATACGGTTACGTGAAGTGCTCGTGGCAGGTGCCAATCCTGATAACATACTGAAAAGGCAATAGAGACAGAAAGACTAACACCATTATGGGCATGTTTTATATGTGTTTTATATGTTCTTCCCTAGAAGCTGAGCAAATTCTTCATAGAAAACCATAATGAAGTTAGGACAACCACACTGCCCAAAGAATAAGCAGCATAAAGCATGAGTCACTCAGGCTTTTAGCAATTATAGTTGCTTTTGCTAAAGGTATGAATTATGACTCCAGCTTCATAATGCTCAGTAGAGGTTTCACGTTGATTACAGAGTCTCCATTTGTACATTCTCCAAAGGAAAAGGAAAACAGAATGAATCCTTCCTTCTTAGCCACAGCCCCTGAACTTTAGCTGTTATGTTTGAGAAAAGAAGGGGGAAAAACTCAAGGGAAAGTATATAATATGCAAATTGCATACATTTCAGCTTCTTAAAAGGCAAACTTGAGTGGATTCTGAGCCAGTCAAAAGGTTTCAGAATCAAAAGGTTTGTAACCCTGAAGTGAGAACAAGGATTCATGTTGCTAAACTCTCTCTGATCTCCTACTGTCTCTTTCAAGTGCTTAGGAACATTGTACTTTAACCTCTGGCATTTCAGTAACGCTTCTCCACAGGAGCTTTCAAGAAACAAGCAGAAGTCACATGGACTGCCACTGAGATAATAGCACTTGATTTACTTCCATGCTTAAATTGTTCTCTGAAACAGGGGTATCACTCATTGCATCAAGGAGGTCTCAAAGCAGTACAGCTATAATCAGGCAGTCTAAATTCTGCCTCAGTTTCATGTTAAGCTGTCCTACATATCAGTTAGTGCTTCCCATGCCTCAGCTTGGCACTGTACACGGACTCTTTTCACTAGGCCTTAGCAGAGGGTTCATTTAGGCACAGGGCTAAGATCAAGGGGGCTTATGCTAGTGGGAAAGCATTTAGCAATTCCAGTATGGGTTATCTAGGGAGAGAAGAGTGGAAACAAAAAATTTAAAAAATAACATAGAAAAAAAAAAAAAAAACCACCTACCAAAACAAAACAATCCATGATCAAAAAATCCTTGAACTGCAAACTGTGATTTGTCAGCTACCAGGGGAAAACATCAGCACATGATGTTGCTCAGGCCCCTATGAAGCCAAGAGGGAGGGATGGATTGGTGCTCAGTCTGACGTGATGTGGCTTTTTCTGTGTGGTAACATGGAAAAGGGAAGTAGTATTCAAAATGTTATGGTTCAATAATAAGAAATGAAGCACACAAATGAGCTCCTCAGCTGGGTGAAAAAGTACAGCCACAGAGACTTAGACAGGCAGAGTCTCATTCTAACATGTTGATGGCTTTTAATCAGTTCATCAGAATTAACGACAACGTAAAACTAAAGTCTGTCAATAGAAAAGTAGTTGTTTTGCAAACAAGAAGCATTTCTTCCTAATCAATATCCTACAGCTCTCAAAAAAATCAGCATTGCATGTCCTTGCTCTTTGTAACTTTCCAAGTATATGGAGATGCAATTTTTAAAACTTAGTCAATAAAGGACCAGAATTCTGCCTATAGACTCCAGCCCAGCATCTTTCAGAACTACCGGATACGTTTCTTACTTTGGACAAAAAAATCTCATTTTAAGTAAGTTTAGTAATCACTGCTGTGATAGTTATTCAGGCAGTTTTTAATGACCTCACCAGTAAATAGCTGTGTAAAATAGTATTCTGTCAATATGTTTCCTCATCCACTATTTTGAAGGATGACTGAGTAAATAGTGGGGTTTTTTGAAAAGGAAATAAAATACATGGGGAATATATTCTCCCATAACCTCTTTGACTCTAGATTTAATACACAGATGTAAGCACACCTGGTTTCTGCTGGGAATAAAACCATGACCATCTCATAAAGAGGCATGGGGCCAGCTCCAATAAAGGACTTCATTGCCTACAATTTAGGCACTGTAAAGCCCATACTTCAGGAAGTTGGCCCCAAAGTGAAATCCAAAACCATGAGGGGCTTCTGGGCTTTCTACGCATTCTAGGAAGCTAGAATCTAAACCTCTCCAACACTCATGCTGGTCAGAATTAGCCTGTAAGAAATGGCGAGCACAGAGGCACCTTTGGACTCCAGAATTTTTTTCCATCTTTCTCCAAGTACTGTTAAAAAAAAAAACAAAAAAAAACAAACAAACCAAAAGGCAGAAATCAGTCTTGCTGGCAGGGTTTCTTTCACTTACTTGGATACTTTAAACTCAAAGTTGATCCTGCTGGTAGTTCCCCCTTTAAATATTGCATTGCTTGTTGCATAGTGACCTAGATTTAACAAAAGAGAAGCAGAATAGTTTTGGATAATAGAAGTGCCTTAAAAGAATGCCCTACTTGAACCCAAGTATCTGTTAACAGTAGGGCTCTTCTATAGGAGAGAACAGTGTGAATTTAATTGTCCTCAGCCTGAGGAGAATGATGAGCCATACTGTTTAGTGTCTTGGTCAAGCAACTTCAGCTGTCAGATGGTGCTTAAGGGAAGACTACTATTTCCTCTTTAATTTAAAGAAGGCACCTACAACCACCTTTCATAAGAAAACCAATGAGGTCTGAGCAGGACCTGGATTCCTTGGAGCAAGGCATTTTGGGGCATATGAACAATATACAAACATAGGCAGCTGATAATTTTTATATCAAAAGGAGTCACCAGGGAGAGCTGTCTTCTGGATAGCTATGCTGTGGTTTTGGTCAAGGACACCTGAAGTCTGGATGTAAGAGACAGCTTAAGCACCTGTGGGGAGTTTTGTGTACATTTCTTTTTTTTTCCTCTCCAGTAGTATAAACATGTAATTCCTTGGCATGTTAATAAAACATAATAATGAAACTAAAACATAATAATGAAACTTCTTCCTCTGCAGCTGTTTGCAGGCAGAGCCCATTGTCACTATCTTACTAAGGAGCTAATCTCTTCAAATTTTCTCTCTCCAACTTTGAATGCTCTGATCGAGGACCTTATTCTTTGGGGAAAAAATAAGCTGTCATTCCTCCAAATTAGCTCCTTTCTGCTCATAATCCATCATTACTCAACAGCATCTGTGATCTGAATAGGTACAAATGGGTGGCCCTTAACATTTTAATTATAGATAATAGAATTACTCAGGTTGGAAAAGACCTTAAAGATCATCAAGTCCAATCTATTCAAACAATGAAGAAAAAGAAATCTACTG